TTCATCACCTTGAATATTTCTTGCCATTCCCGTCTGGCCTGCATGGTTTCTGTTGAGAAGTCAGCTGATAATCGTATAGGTGCTCCTTTATAGGTAACTACCTGCTTAGCTCTTGCTGCTTTTAATATTTTCTCTTTGTCTTTTGCTCTTGGAATCTTAATTATGATTTGTCTTGGTGTGGTCCTCTTTGGATTCTTTTTATTTGGAGTTCTGTGTGCTTCCTGGACTTGTAAGTCTAATTCTTTCACCAGGTGGGGGAAGTTTTCGGTTACTATTTCTTTCAATATGTTTTCGATATCTTGCTCTCTCTCCTCTTCTGGGACCCCCATAATTCTGATGTTGGATCGTTTGAAGTTGTCCCAGAGGTTTCTTACATCATCTTCAATTTTCTGGATTCTCTTGCCTTCTAGCTTCTGCGGAGGAGTATCTTCTGGCTCTTTATGTTCCAAATCTTTGACTTGATTCTTGCGATCTTCTATTCTGTTTTTAGGACTCTGCATAATAGTTTTTATTTCAGACAATGTATTCTTTATTTCTTGTTGATCCCTTTTCATATCCTCATAAGTCTCATTTATTTTATCAGCCTTTTCTAGGAAACTCTTGAAAAACCTTATAAGTGTGGTTTTGAACTCTATATCCAGTCGCTTTTTGTCCTCCATTTCTTTCGTTTGTGATCTATTTGGTTTAGGCATTTTCGCAGGCAGCTTTCCTGATGGGGCGGGGTTTCAGGGTGGAGCCTATGCGACTCCTGAGACTCAGGGTCCTTCAGTTCTCCTTGCAAGCGCCTCTGAGAGAAAGGCGCCCTCGATCGCCTGCTACCAAACAGTCAATGCTCTCCCCCAATGGGCCCGAAATTGGGGTTCAGTTCAGTTGGAAGTGGAGTTGGAGGTGGCGTTCAGAGCAGTCCGGAGCCCCTGTCTCCTTCCCGCCAGGCAATCCCGCGGCACAGCCGGCCGTCCCTTCTCTGAGCGCACTGCGCGCCGCCGCCGGGACCTCCTTTGGCCGCTTCCCCGGGTTCGCCTTTCAGCCCGGCTCCCTATGGCTGAGCCTGGGTCCCCGGGGTCTGGCCTAGGCCTGGGGTTCAGAGCAGTCGGGGGCCCAGCACAGTCGGAGCTTTTATCTCCTTCCCGCCAGGGAACGCCCGCCAGGCACTCCGCTCCCTCCTCTCCAGCTCCGTCCTCTCCGCGCCGCGTGTCTCCGTACCTTGGGCTTTTCCAGCTCCTCCGCCCTCACGGCACTCTCACGCGGGCTGCGCTCCTCTCCGCACCCCGGTGTTCAACCAGCCTTCTCTGCGTGGGCATGCGACTGTCTCTCTGCCGTCAGCCTGAGCTCTGGGAGCCCTGTTCCTGCTGCAGCCACACAGGAGGTCTGCCAGTCTTGCCAGCTGAGTGAGTGAATGCAGCCCGCCCCCGGGAGTGTCGGGGTCTGCTGCACTCGGTGGCAGGTGGCCAACTCCAGGGACCCTGGAGAGAAGGCGAGAGGCGGCAAAGGGCGAGGGTGCCAGGGCTTGCAGGAGCTTGCTCCGCTGCCATGACAACCACCGCAAACTGGGGCTGCACAGCCGGAAAGTGTGTCTCGCACCTGGAACTAGAAGTCTGCGCTCAAGGTGGGCCAGGCTGGTGCTGGCTGAGGAGCCTGAGCGAAAATCTGTCCCGCGCCCCGGCCCCGCGCCCCGGCCCCGCCAGCGTGCTCCGTGGCTTGTCTTCGTCTCTTCCCTCTGTGTGTCCTGTCCTTTCCCCTCTTCATAAGGACACCAGTCCTTCGGGGTCAGGGCACCCCACAAGCACCCCAGGTTGACGGGATCACCGCCATGAAGAACCCATCTCCAAAGAAGGCCACTCGCTGAGGCACTGGGTGGGAATCAGCACCTCGATGTCCCTTTTGGGGAGCTGGAGCAGGCCCTGGCCAGGCAGGTGGGACGTCACCGAGCTCTTCCTCCTGTCCCGACCCAGGGCCCGCCTGCCCCCTCCTCAGCTCCCCGTCCCCTCGCACAGCCGCCCGCGGGCCTTCCTCCGCGCGGTGAGAGCCCTCACGGTAATGGCACGCCGTCTAACAGAGGTGCCAGCGGTGAACATGTCACCTGAACTAGGGCCTCGGAGTAAATGTCCTTCAAACGGCCCCGGAGGCCCGCTCGCACGTGGCCCAGCCCTGCCGGCTCCAAACGCCGTCCCCAGAAGGAGCGGCTCGGCCGGAAGCCGGACCGTGGCTGGCGAACACCGCGGCAGTAGCTGGAGCCCTCCCGCCTCCTCGGCCGTGCTAAGCTGTCCGACTGACAGCTAGGCCTGCACCCCACCGGTCAGACATCCCCCGAGGGCTCCTGTGCTGCGAGAGGGACCCTGCACCCCCTCCGGCACGAATCTCATGCGCCGGGACCCTAGTTCTGTATAAGTGCCCAGTGACGGGCTTAGGCAGGAGCCTTAGGCCTTGGGCTCCGGCTGGGGAGGAGGCCCGGTCTGAGGCGGGCAGCGGGAGGGCCTCGCACGGGGCTGGGTTATTTCCCAGGCCTCATCTTCGCTGTGCATCCCTGACCTCTGAACCGTCACTTAGCCGCACAGAGCAGGGAGCCCCAAGCACTGGGGCGCAGGAAAGGCTGGTTCTGGCGCGGGGAGGTCAGGGGGGCGGGGCGGGGACACTGCTGGGGTCCTGGCAGCCAGGGAGCAGTGAGCCCAGAGAAGCTGCGAAGAAAGGAGGCACAGGGCACAGGGCACAGGGCAGCTGCTAAAGAAAACTGCCTCGTGGTCCGGTCTGTCAGGCCTGCTGCCTGAGGCCGAGGTCCCGACCGCTCCGGAGCCTGTGCCGCCCCCTCCACGCGGCTCACCCTGCCCCGCCGCACCCGCTCCCGCCCGCCGGGCCCGGGGCCCAGGCGCCGCCGCCGCGGACGGAGCGCTGACTCGGCCCGCAGGCTGCTGGCTGCGCCCGGAGGGCGGGGCAGCCCCTGGCGAGCAGCCGGGGGGCACGCGAGGGAGGCGGTGGCCTAGAGACGGGAGCAGACCCGGCCTGGTCCTGGGGACGGCAGGAGGCCGGCCTCCGCCGCCCGCCCGCCCGCCCGCACCCTCCTCCTCTCCCCTGGGGCTCCCCGCTCAGCGGCTCCACTGCGCTGGGCCCCGAGGGTCGCCCGCCGGCTTCCAGGAGCGGGCGCAGCAGAGGCAGGTGGGCTTGCCCGCCGCCGGCCCTGCAGCGCCCCCTGACGGCTCCCGCCTGGTCCGCACCCTCCCACCGCAGCCCGCCCTGCGGCGCCCCCCGGCATTCCGGTCCGGTTCTGGGCGCCAGGCCCCAGGCCCACAGTCCCGGTCCGTGTGAAGGAGGTGAAGGAGGTGAGCGCCGGCGCAGCCAGCCGAGCGGGGGCCCTGGCCCTGCTTGGGGCGGTCACTTCCAGGCAGAGGAGCCCCGCTGGCCTCTTGACATGAGAACTTGGAACTTCCGGGCCTCCGCTTCCTCTGCCTGGCCCCGACCACCTTCCTTCCTCTCTCCTCCCACAGAAGCCACCCCTTCTCCTCTACGGCCCCTCCCCCTTCTCCTCTATGGCCCCGCCCCCTTCTCCTCTACGGCCCCGCCCCCTTCTCCTCTACGGCCCCGCCCCCTTCTCCTCTACGGCCCCGCCCCCTTCTCCTCTACAGCCCCTCCCCCTTCTCCTCTATGGCCCCGCCCCCTTCTTCTCTATGGCCCCGCCCCCTTCTCCTCTATGGCCCCTCCCCCCTTCTCCTCTATGGCCCGCTCCCCTTCTCCTCTACGGCCCCTCCCCCTTCTCCTCTACGGCCCCTCCCCCTTCTCCTCTACGGCCCCGCCCCCTTCTCCTCTACGGCCCCTCCCCTTCTCCTCTATGGACCCGCCCCCTTCTCCTCTATGGCCCCGCCCCTTCTCCTCTATGGACCCGCCCCTTCTCCTCTACGGCCCCTCCCCTTCTCCTCTGTGGCCCCTCCCCCTTCTCCTCTATGGCCCCGCCCCCTTCTCCTCTACGGCCCCCTCTCCCCCATCCTCTGTGGAGCTGTCTAGGAACCCGGGGCTGTGTTCTCCCGGGCTGGGGCCTGGCTGGTCAGTCCCTTGAGGGGCCATGCTTGCTGCATGCCCTCATGCTCTCCTCTCACTCTCCTTACTCCCCCACCTCAGTGGCCAGGAATCTGGTGTTTGCCCCAGCCTCCCCAAGGTTGCCCTGTGTCCCCGACACCAGGAAATCCCTGGGGGCTCCCCGAGGGCGTGGCGTCTAGGTGACAAGGTAAAGCAGCGGAAGAGAAGGCGCTTGTGGAGACGGAATGGGGAGGACCAGTGGGGGGGGGCTGAGGCAGGAATGGGCTTCTGGAGCGAAGGACGAGGAGAGGTGTGGGAGGGCTGCTGGGCCACGTCAGCCTCCGCCGCGCCAGGAGCCCGGCCAGGGCAGCGCCGGACCCAGGACCCACGAAGGCACAACGCCAGCCTCTAGGTTATGCCGTTTATTGAGTATCTGACGACGGGCTGGGGGGTCCCCAGGACGCCCTGCGCCTCCCTCATGCAGGGACACATGTGATCATGAGGACGCAGCAGCCAGAAGGGAGACTGCGGCGGAGACCCGAGAGGCAGGAGAGTGGACCGTCCGGGAGGGAGCTCCGCGGAGTGGGCGGGGCTGGAGGGTGGAACGGGCGGATGCGGTCACTGCCGTTGGGTCCGGTAATGGGCCGGTGGACAGGGAGGGTGACTGTCCGGGCACCAGCGTTACTCTGGGACAGTCAGGCTGCCCAGTCCGCAGTCTGAGTGGCAGGGCCCGGCCAGGGGGAGCCAGTGACGTCCATCTCCGCCGCGCAGGAAGGTGCAGAGGGGGCTGCGGGCAGGGCGGCTGCAGGGGGCTCTGGGAGCGAGGAGGACACAGCTGACTCCATTCCTGGCCTCGCGTCTCCAAACACACAAGTGTGTGCGCACGTGTGCGTGTGTATGCATGAGTGTGTGTGTGTATGCATGAGTGTGTGTATGCGTGTGTGTGTATGTGTGCATGCGCACGCGCTGCACATGCATGCACGCATAGAAGTGACTTATGGACTGGCATGAGCCTGTCCCTGGGGCTGGAAGGCTTCAGGGCCAGCTAGCTGGGGCCCCAGGGGCTGCACTTGGGCCAGGATGTCCCGGAGGGAGCGGCACGGAGTCTTGGAGCCGCCGCAGGGCTGGGCGCCAGCGGAGGGGTCGGGCTGCGGGGAGCCCTTGGGCCCCCCGGTCAGCGCGGAGGAGGAGGCGGGCGCGCAGGGGTGACCCGCAGCGCTGGACGTGCCGCCACAGGGCTGAAGGACGACTTTGCTGCTGGATTGGGAGCCAGAGCTGTGGCTGAGCGCGCCCGTGCCCGGCGGGGAGCAGGGCCCCTGGGAGACGCTGCCGCAGGGGTGCGAGGACCCCGAGCCGCCGGAGACAATGTGGACCACAGAACCGGAGAGGGAGCAGGGCCCCCTGGAGCCCGAGGAGCCCGCCGCGCAGGGCCGGACGCCGCCGGAGCCCACTGGCTGGAACACGACGACGGAGGAGGCTCCGGACGGGTAGATGCCGGCGCTGGAGCTGTGGCTGGAGACGATGGGATTGCTGGAGAAGTACTTGCCCTCGGAGATGGGGGGCCCGGCTGCGAAGGAGGGCACCCCCGGGGAGCCTCTGACGGGGTTCTCTTTGGTGAAGTAGCCCACAGGGTAGATTTTGCCGCCGCTGTAGGTCATGCCCGGGGCCAGGTAGCTGTTGGAGGAGCCGCCCACCACCTCGTAGCCGCCGTAGGACTTGTCCACAGAGGTGATGGGCGGGCAGGGCCTGCCGGGGGCGCCGCCGTTGCCGCAGGGGGCGCCGGGGCCTCCGGAGCCGTGCTGCTCCACCACCACCACCACCGGCCTTTGGCCCCCGGACACAGAGTGGGAGCTGGAGATGTAGGAGCCGGAGTGGGAGACGACGGGCCCCCCGCTGCAGGGAGAGTCGGGGACGTCCGGGCTGCAGGGGCGTGAGCTGGAGCCGCCCCTCTGGCCGCCGCTGCCGGCCGTCCAGGACGCCTGGGAGACGGAGGAGCTGGAGCCCCCGCCGGACTGGGAGGAGCTCACCACGAAGTGGGCAGAGCCGCCGCGGCCTGGGGCGGCGGGCCCGGACCCCTGCTGGGAGGAGCTGGGGGCACCGTGCACACTGGAGCCAGACCCGGAGCTGTAGCTGCTCTGGGAATAGCTGGTCCCTGGCTTAAACAGCAAAGACCCCGAAGGACCGCCCTGGGCCACACTGGAGCCGCTGGAGCCGCCACTGGAGCCGCCACTGGAGCCACTGTGTCCGCTGGAGCCGCTGGAGCCACTGAATCCACTAGAACTGCCACTGAAGCCACTGCTGGAACCTCCACTGGAGCCACTGGAGCCGCTGGAACCTCCACTGAAGCCACTGGAACCGCCGGAGCCACCAGAGCCCCCGGAGCCCCCGGAGCCGCCCCCAGAGCCCCCGGCACTGGAAACAGGGCTGCTGGAGCCCCCCTTCCCGGTGAGACAGGGGTCGTTGGGGGAGGTGATACGTGTGGGGTCCTTACAGGGGTCTGAGAAGGTCCCGATGCTCTTAGCCAAGGTCCCTGGGGAGGAAAGTCATGGTTAGTAGGGGCACGAGGCGTGGCTTCCTCCCTCACCTTTCCGGCCCACGTCCATCACCTGCGCGGCGGCCGGGAGTTTGGGGCGGAGAGAGGGAGAGGCTGTGCCCTGAAGGGAAGGGAGCCGCAGGACAGGGCAGGCCTGTTGTTCGGGGAGGGGAGGGCCCGACATCTGCCGGGAAGGAGAGGAGATGCAACGTGGGCTGGGAGAAAGGCCTGGAGAGGGAGAAGGACAACGGCCTGCAGGGCCGGCCCAGGGGACAGCAGTGGACCCAGCGAGAGGGCATATCCCGGGACCAGCTGGGAGGAGAAGACAGAGGAAACACTCGGCGATGGAGAGCGAGGGGGGAGGGACGGGCAGCTGGAGGGACGCTGGGAAGAGAGTGCCAGCGGCCAGGGCTGCCTAGAGGGCAGGGCCCAGGGGACCTGGCTGCTCAGCCGCTCCCCCGCAGAGGGGCTTGGGGGAGGGTGGGGATTCTGCTCCCAACTCAGCTTTGCCCACTCGGGAAAGCTGGGTGGGGCTGGATGTGGGGCCGCTGTTGCTTCAGAGCCTGCTGGTACAGCCGGACGGGACGCCGCCTGAGCCACGGCTCTCCTGGCCCGGCCCAGGACACGGACGGAGCGCTCCCTGCCCGGCCTCGTGAGCCCGGCCTCGTGAGCCCGGCCACCCGGTGCGCCTGCCCGTCTCCCTCCCCGGCCCAACCTCTTCCTCCAGGCTCCCCGCCCCTGCCCGCAAGGACAGCCCTAGCGCCAGGCCTCCGCGGCTTCAGCGCGGCCTGTGCTCTCGGGCGTGGCTGTGAGCAGAGTGGCTGTGGCTGTGGCTGTGGCTGTGGCTGTGGCTGTGCTGTGGAAGGGACTTGAAGACACACAGCCAGTCGCCTGCGTGGCTGGCCCGCGCCCCCAGCCCCCACCTGCCACGCCTGTGCCGGCCATCCCCTCGTGCACTCTGCTCTCTGAGGGCGCTGGGCCTAATACACGCCCAGTCTTCACCTCTAGACCCTCCAGAATTCCCAAAGCACCGAACAGACTGAAGCTGGGTGTTATCAGTCCCAGAAACTGGGGCTCAGAAGGTTTAAGTAACGTGCCTGGTGACAGCGAAGAGCAGCCCAGGCCCCGGCGCCAGACTGCGGGCCCCCCACCCACTCCAGACACAGTGTCCCCAGCCTTCCCTCACCTGGGGTCTGCACCCTCCTCTCCCCTCCCCACCCCTCCCGCCTCCTACCTGGCAGCAGGAGGCCAGCCAGCAGCAGGGCCATGGCCCCGCGCCCTCCGGCACGCCCCGTCCGGGGCTCCCGCGAGGAGCCGGTGCTGGACGCCATGGCTCTGAGTGCGGGCGTGCGGGCGCAGGCTTTATGCAGGGCCGGACATTCTCCGGGCAGGAGTCACCGAGGGGCGGGAGGGGCAGGAGGGCAGTGCCCAGGGGGCATTGGTGTGGCAGGAGCTGAAGCAATCGGCTGGGATCTGCCTACTCAGCCGCCAGTGCGCAGCAGGTGCCGGCCACGGGTTGCCTAACCTGGAACCGGCGCGCCCCCTCGGCGGCCGCCCACTCGGGTGGCTACCCTCCTTCCCACAGCGCCTGCCCCGCCCGCCCCCCCAGCTTCCCGCTGTGCCCAAGCCCCTGCTCCCGGCCCGGCCCCCCTCAGCTCCCGGCCCCCCCCAGCTTCCCGCTGTGCCCAAGCCCCTGCTCCCGGCCCGGCCCCCCCCCCCAGCTTCCCGCTGTGCCCAAGCCCCTGCTCCTGGCCCGGCCCCCCCCCCCAGCTTCCCGCTGTGCCCAAGCCCCTGCTCCTGGCCCGGCCCCCCCCCCCAGCTTCCCGCTGTGCCCAAGCCCCTGCTCCCGGCCGGCCGGCCCCCCTCAGCTTCCCGCTGTGCCCAGGCCCCTGCTCCCGGCCCGGCCCCCCCCCAGCTTCCCGCTGTGCCCAAGCCCCTGCTCCCGGCCCGGCCCCCCTCAGCTCCCGACCCCCCCCCCCAGCTTCCCGCTGTGCCCAGGCCCCCCTCAGCCCCTGGCTCCCCCCGCAGCTTCCCGCTGTGCCCAGGCCCCCGCTCCCAGCCCCCCCGCAGCTTCCCGCTGTGCCCAGGCCCCTGCTCCTGGCCCGGCCCCCCTCAGCCCCTGGCTCCCCCACGTCCTCCGTGTAGGGTCTGCACCCCACCTGAGCCCTGGCCACGGCCAGGCGCCTGCTGCTACACACGTAGCCGCGAGCGAGCCTTTCGGGTCAGGACCCGGATCTGCCTTCAGAGCGCTCCTTGGCCTCTCCCTGGGGGGGGCCTCTCCCTGGGGGGGGTCTCCCTGGGGAGGGGGCCTCTCCCCGGGCGCCTCGGGCACGTGAGGGGAGCTGGCTGCAGGGCCTCGTCGTGGGGAAGGCCGGGTGGGACCCTGCTGGCTGGGCCCTGGTCACTCACAGGCCACGCGGCCCTCCCGCCCTGACGCCGCCAGGTGAGCCAGAGCCCAGGAAGGCTAATGGGCAGGCGGCGCCGGCTCCCTCAGTCTCGCTCTGCGGGGCGGGGCGCAAACAGGAAGGCGCGGGACCGCGGGAGCCGCCCCCGGGCGCCCCACCCCAGCCGCCTAATTGCTCCTGGTGTTGCGAGAGCCTCGGTATCGGCGGAGGCGCCGGGAGCCGCCCCTGCTCTCGGCCGCGCCCTGCTCCCCTCACCCAGACCCGGGCCCTGCCACCAGCACCCGGCTCTCGGGCCTCTGCCTCCCCCCAGCCCCAGCCGGGACCTGCAATGCCGGTGAGGTCCAGCCTCCGTGGCTGCAGCTCTAGGGACAGGCCAGCGTTCCCAAGCAGAGGAAGGGAATTTTATTTCTACAAAATTCCATTAATTAGGCTGTAAATAGCCACAGGGGCCAGGCCCGGGGTCAGGGGCAGCCTTCCCTGGAGAGAGTTGATGAGGGTGGGGTCTGGCTCCTGTCCCAGCTCCCCTCCCAGCTGTGGGCCTTGCACCAAACTTTCCTGACCGCAATGTCTCAGTGGGCGCCGTGGGAAGTGCCCAGAAAGCCCACACGGCAGAGGGGCAGGTCCGGCCACGGAGCCGCAGCGTGCTGCCTGCGTCCCCCACGGGAGCGCGCCTCAGCCAGGCTCTCAGCCCGGCCCTGCCCGGCCCCACACTGCCTCCTGGGCAGCCGCCAGTGCCCCGGCCCCACTGCTCCCCCTGGGCCCTCGGGCCTGGGCTCCAGGCGGGAGGAGGGCGTGGGAGCCTGGGGTTTGGGTGAGGAGGAGCGTGGGTCCCGCGAGGTGTTCCTTTCTAGCACAAACAGGCGTCAGTGCTGTTCTGTTTTCTCCCTCCCAGCCCTCCCTGCAGACCCGGCCTCCGCCCCTGCAGGAGGCAGTCTCTGTGGGCCTCTCGCCAGGGCCCCGGCCCACACACCGGTGCGCGCCCCTTCCTCTCCCACGGCCTCCTGTCCTCCGGCCTGTGCGGCCGGCGCTCACACCAGCCCCGCTCGGCTCAGGCAGCAAGATCTCATGGGCCGGCGGCCCCTCCCGGCCGCTCGCCAGTTGGCTGAGAGCCACCGTCCGCTCCTCCTCTGGCAGGCCCCCAGCCTGCTCTGTTTGAGTAGAAAGTAGGTCTCATCACTCCCCCCACTCCTGCCCGCCCCCCACACCCCGTGCCGGGCCTGCTCTGGAGGTAGCAATGCAATGGCCGTCCTCACTGAGCCACCCACCTGGTTGCACAGGGCAAGGAGGGGGGCAGGCACCGGGCTCCTGGGGCACAGGGAGGGGGGGCAGGCACCAGGCCCCTGGGGCACAGGGAGGAGGGGCAGGCACCAGGCCCCTGGGGCACAGGGAGGGGAGGCAGGCAACGGGCCCCTGGGGCACAGGGAGGGGGGGCAGGCACCGGCCCCCTGGGGCACAGGGAGGAGGGGGGCAGGCACCGGGCTCCTGGGGCACGGGGGGGGGGGCGGGCAGGCACAGGGCCCCTGGGGCACAGGGAGGGGGGGCAGGCACCAGGCCCCTGGGGCACAGGGAGGGGGGGCAGGCACCAGGCCCCTGGGGCACAGGGAGGGGGGGCAGGCACAGGGCTCCTGGGGCACAGGGAGGGGAGGCAGGCACCGGGCCCCTGGGGCACAGGGAGGGGGGGCAGGCACAGGGCCCCTGGGGCACAGGGAGGGGAGGCAGGCACCGGGCCCCTGGGGCACAGGGAGGGGAGGCAGGCACCGGGCCCCTGGGGCACAGGGAGGGGGGGCAGGCCTGGAGGAGTGAAGAGAGGGCGGAAAGGGCATTTAGAAGGAGCTGGTTTGAGCTGGGAGCTGGCGGGAGCAGTGGGTGGCGGGGAGGGCGGCTGTGACGCAGGGCAGGCAGAGGGGGGCTGCAGCAGGGGCTGGCCCATGGGGCTGCGAGCCGGGTCTCCCCGGGGCCTGAGGCGCTGAGGTGCTCGGGGTTTGACCTCACACAGCCCTGCGGGGTCTCTTCCTACACGGAAACGAGTGTAAATTATCCGCCCAGACGGCAGGCAACCGGCAAGGGAGCCGGAGAGAACTCACCCAGCCCCGCACTCCCCGCCCGCACTCCCCGCCTCGCCACGCGGACACCAGGACACACACCCGCCCTCAGGCCGCTCCGGGGAGTCCTCAGCCTGTGGGGGCGCGCAGGTCCCGGGGGTGAAGGAGTGAGGAGCGAGGTGCTGTCCCAGCCTCTCCTGGGCGCTGTCCAGCCTGAAGCAGCCGGGCACGCAGCCCTGGGCAGCCTCGCTCGGCCGCGGAGAGGGAGCGGGAGAGGAAGGCCCAAGAGGAGCGGCTGTGGAATGGGGAGAAGCGGAGGGGCCGGCCGCACCGAGGGCCCCCCTGCTCCCCACCGCCCGGCGCCTCCCTCTCGGCTTCTCCCTCACTCCACACCCACTGGGGCTCCGTCTCCCGCCCTCACCGCCCCCACGGAGCCCCGGCCTGGTCCACACCCTGCCCCTGGCCCTCCCGACGGGACGCGGGGCGGAGCCGGGCCGGGGCCTGCTGGTCTGTGCGGGCGCTCCCTCTGCACACGGGCCTGACCCTCTGCCCTCCCGTGGCAAGCAGACTCCTCTGTCAGCCCCTCCGGTCCTCAGGACGGGACAAAGCCACTGGCGGGGACGGCAGGTCCCCGGGACTCCCGGCTCTTACCCACGGAGGCACCTGGTGACACGGCCCGGCCGCCGGCCCCACCTCCCCGGGCAGACGCGCCGTGGTGAGGTGGCACTCGCCGGTGGGCAGCAGGCTCAGGCCGGCCCCAGCCCAGAGCCCCCTTAGCCCCCACCCCGCCGCCTCTGCTCCTGGGTGCCATCCCTGAGCCGCTCCCCCTCTGCTCTCCGGCCCAGAGGCCGGCCTGGGAGAGGGGGCAGGGCGGTGGCTCCAGTTCAGAGACTCGGGGTGATGGGGTAGGAATCCCGCTCAGCAGAGCGCGTGGAGCTGAGCCACGGCTCTGGTGTGGCCTCTGCTCAGTGCGACCCTCCCCTCCACGCAGCCCCATCACCCTCCTCCAGGGCTGCCCTGGGCAGTGGCCACTCAGCCCCCTGGGCTGTCCCTGCACCCGCCCCCCTCACAGCCCGGGACCCTGCAGGCCGCACTGCAGCCGGGCTGGGGAGTGGGGCTTGGGGTCCGAGGCCATCTTCGGGCTGTGAGTCTGGAAGAGGAAGAACCCGGAGGTGGGGTTCTGCCCTCCACCTCAGCTCCCCCGCCCGCGTCCCGCCCTCCTGCCCTCTGGTCAGCTGAGAGGGCACCTCCCTGCTCGCTTCCTGCTCTAAGTCAGCCGCACGAGGCCACAGCCACCTGTCCCGTGAGGCTGTGACTCGCTCTTACAGCAACAACAATATTTTCCTCCGGAGCCCGAGCCCCCGCCCAGCACGCTCACCGCTTACTCACTCTGCCCACTGCAGCCAGGAGTGCTCTTCATGGCTGTCCTCGCCCACACTGAGGGCCTCGCTGCCCCAAAGCCGGGGGCTGAGAGAAAAGGCAGAGAGGGACAGGGCAACATCGGACTTTGCAGTAGGCAGGACAGACCGCAGACAGGACGGGCCGCGGGGAGGACAGACCGCAGGGAGGATGGACTGCGGAGAGGACGGGCCGCGGGGAGGACGGGCCGCGGGGAGGACGGGCCGCTGGGAGGACGGGCCGCTGGGAGGACGGGCCGCGGGGAGGACGGGCCGCGGGGAGGACAGACCGCGGGGAGGATGGGCTGCAGACGGGACGGCCGCGGGGAGGACGGGCCACAGACAGGACGGGCCGCGGGGAGGACGGCCACGTGTGCCAGCAGCTGCACACGGGCCAGGATACGCAGGTCCTGCTGCCGAGGTTGCGTGCCGCTCTGGGATTCAGCACAGTGTGCGGAGTGTGGGCACCCCCCCCCAGGACAGTGTA